TTTTTTTTTTAATGTAACATGTTTATGGCTTTAATATTTGTGTTGATTTACTTGTTTGTTTGCAGCTCTGCTTTAATAAGTTCATACATTTTGTTTTCTTTCTTTTTTTTCTTTCTTTTTTTTCAATTTTGCTCTCAGTGTGTTTTCATGCATGTCAACCTCTTTGGGCTTTTTCATATAATATTACTCTTTACAAATAAAACTTGCCTGACTAAAATACTGAATAGTTTTTTGAGGTGTGTACACCAAAGCTGCTAAAAACGAAAATCCTGGATTCTCATCTTAACTTGATCTTGATCAGTCATTGAATTTTGCAAAGTGATTTTATAATGGAAAAAACCGATGATGTACTTTTAATCTGAACATCGCAAATGATAACATTTCATTTAACATAAGGGAGTAAATTATATAAGTAACATTGAATATGGAAAAGTGTTGTCAACATGTTGCTAGAATGTCATATTTTAATTGCAGGTACTCCCCCTTCACCTCCCCCTTCACCTCCCCGTAAGAAATTTAAAATTTAATATAAAATTCTTTAAACTTTAAGATTAAACCAACACATAACGATGTATAATGAATTTAAAACAATTTCCTTCTCGTGTGATTCACACAATTAACATGTTCATTTTACAGTTTTACGGGTAGAAGAAAGAAAAATACCATGGAAGTGAGTATTATGGGGGAGGTTTATTCTTTGTGTTCTAGAACTTAAATGTGAGTTATGTTTTTAACACATGTTTGCCATTTGATGTCAGTCTCAGACCGGATTATATAATGTGTAAATGTATCAGTAGAGAGATTCAAACCTCCAGCAGCTGTATTGCTGGCAATGAGTCATGGTGCTGAGAGTGCACTGAGTGCTGAAATAAAGGTATTACAGTATATTAGGAATTCACAGGATTAGTTATTTTCTGCTGTTGCTTCTCCCTTGCCTCTTGGTGTTATACTTCTTATAATCTTTATAGATCATCATCGCATTTTCCTCTTATGTCTCTGACAATCAGGCCAATGAGTTACATGATACGTCAAAGCAAACTTTTATTTAACAAAATCACATGCCTTGTCTTTCTAGTTTATTTTGTATTCCTCATGTTAGTTAGTTTCCCTCATGTCCAGCAATAAAGCTGGTTTTAGTTCACTTTTCATCTCCAACAGTCTCCATTCGCGTTCTACATTCCTGCCTGCCACACACAGATCCTGCCAGACACAAACAAAGAACCTATAACAGACTAGTTTGGACAAGTGAGGGGGAAATTCCTGGAAGCCAGAAGAAAATGAAAGCATGCTTAAAGGGCTGTGCGATATGACCAAAATCTCATATCCCGATATAAGAATTCTGTCGTCCCGATAACGATATAAATCACAAAAATGTAACATTTTCTGTAAATTCTGTAAATTACAGCTCGTCTTGCGGGAAGTGTTTTCAGCTGCACATCATGTAGCTGGAGTCGAGTGTTTTAACTGATGCATGAAACTATACATTTTTAGACATAAGTTGTAAAGGCCGCCGTTTTCTTTGTGAGTATTTATTACACTGCGTGCTGCGGGGAAAGCCTGTTCTTTTTTTTCTTTTTTTTTTTGCCTGTCCCGTTTGGCTCTTTTGCCATCAGAATTGTTGTCTAAAGGCAAAGAAAGATGCCCAACGGATTTACTTTACCAAATTGACCATCCCAGCCTTGCCGTAATGGTCCATTTGATTCACCTTTTATTGTTTATTTTATTTTCACTTACTGAATACGGGACAGACTTGACTGGGGGAAAGAAGGGGAGAAAGAAAGAGGGAAAGAGAAACAGCTGAGAAGAGGGACGGGGGAGAAGGGCAAAAGACAAAAACCAACAGAACGGGCAGAGAAAAAAATGCATATATCAATCACCTGGATCACCTGCTGAGAAAGAAAAAAGAAAGCAAGCAGAAGAGAACAAGAGTAATAGAATAAACAACATCACAATGATATATGGGAATATGACAGTAAATACTAAATGTTAAACATTATTGTGCAGCACATAAGATCAACAGAACACAGTGTGCTTTGAGGTAGGAGCCAAAAAGGGTGTAGTTTGTGGGTGTGATCACCCGTGTGTACACCTGTGAGCATGGACGCGCTTGTTTTTTTTTTTAAAAGGTTCCTTCATGTAATAATCTGCTAGAGGGTGCGGGGGGGCCACAGCCCCGTCCTCCAGGGCATGAAGCAGGTATGGAGGAGATCAAAACTCCAGACATCCAGAGGCCCCCAGAACACAAGAGACCAAGGAAGGCCAACAGAGGGGCAGCCGCGCCACTGTCCCAGAAAGAGCTGAGGAGAGTCCCAGATGAGGGCTCACTCAGCAGCCGCGGAGCAGAAGCCAGGGGGAGTTGCAGTGACGCGCCCGTGAGCTCCGCCGGCAGCCAGCCGTGCCTGAGTGACCGAGCCCCAGGCCGAGAGGCCGGGGGCACCCCACCTCCGAAGTGGCCCGAGCGAGCCCCAGGCTCCAGGCCCCGATAAGCGGCCGCCAAGGAGTGAGCCGGTGTGTACCTGGACGCCCATCCCCGGACACAAAGAACCACCAACGCACCGACACCTGAGGGAGTCCGCCACTGGCAGGGGAAGTGGTGGGGGGGGGAGATAGGCCTCCAAACCTTGGAGGGCCTGAGATGTCCCCAGAGAGGTGGCGTCTGATACCCAACCTGACATATAGACACAGACATACAGGCACACACAGATACAAACATCCATTCCCACCCTCATGCTCTCATGTGCACTTACTCCACACTCAACCAACGTGGAGACAGACATAAAGAGACGCTGTAAACACGATCACACTCCCCAAGCGTACTCTACAAACCGGGTCTAGGTACCCTTGCCCCTGGAGGGGGGAACTGCACCCAGACCCAGGTGGTGTTACCCTTTTCCCTGCGGTGGGGGGAGGCAGACCGCCCCGACTCCGCAGCAGCAGGGAGGCCCCACACTCCAGACCGCAGAAGACTCCAAACTAGAATTGCTTCAAGGCAGACCGAAAGTCTTCTTCCATGACTGGAGATAGCTGACAGGTACTGGCAGGTCAACTGGAGAGTTGCTCTGGCCATAACTGAAGCCAACAATTGAATGAAGTCATGGAAGAAGACTTTCGGTCTGCCTTGAAGCAATTCATTCAATTGGGAAAGCCTGTTCTAACGTTTGAGTCTAAGGTTTATTTTTTAGCACCTGGCGGCTCTTTTTTACTTCTCATCCATAAATAATCTGCTCTTTCACGTGATTCAGTTTATTTTGAAAAGTCTCAACAGGATCTTGAGCTTTATTGTGAAAGGTTTATCTGGAACATAAACAAGCGGACACGCGATGCTGTTACCGTTGTTGTTGCTAACCACAACGCAGAAAAACAGGCGCTTGTCCATCCGTAGTGTGGTTATATAAAATATATACGAAACAAACGATAGCGTAAAATGAAACAATAGACGTTTTTATATCGTCATCAGATATATATATCGTTATATCGAACAGCCCTACATGCTTATATATATATATATTTAAAAAAGAAGTCATACTCAATCTGCATCAGTGGAGGCAACATCAGAGAACCACTTCCATTATGGCACAACTCTGGTGTGCTAGCAACAAGGTGACTTGAATTCGGCTAGCTTTGCTGATGCTTTAGCAGTTGTGAAAAATGCAAAGACATTCACAGATGGGGATTATGCCAAAACATTTGTGCTTGATGTTGCCAATGAACTTCTTGATGACTTTTCGGATAAAGACAAGATAATCAAACAAATAAAAGACATTCCTTTGTTTGCAAGAACTGTTCACAATTGATGGCAAATCAAATGGCAAAACACAAGTGAAGGACATAAATGCATCCATTCTTTTCTCTTGATTTGCATGAGTCAACAGACGTAAGCCATTTATCTCAGTTCAGCGTGATTGCAAGGTATGTTGTTGGTGTCACACTAGGTGAGGAAAGTCTTGCTGTTTTGCCTATGAAAGGGACAACAAGAGGGGAGGATTTATTCAAGTCTTTCACTGAGCTCACCAAAGAAAAGAATTACTGATGAGTAAATGTATTTTGGTCTGTACTGATGGTGCTCTGTGCATGGTGAGGAAAAACGGAGGATTCGTAGCGCTTCTTCATGAACATGAAAAGAGAGCCATCCTAAGGAGGCACTTTTTCTCAGACTGGTCATTCGGGTGGTCAACTTTATTGGTGCCCAAGCTTTAAATGAACGCCAATTTATAACACTGCTGAATAAAGTTGGGAATAATTATCTTGGTGTTCTTCTGCACAGCAATGTGCATTGGTTGTCAAGTGCTCAGCTGTTTCACCTCTTGTCTGAGCGAAATCCGGACTTTTTTTGAAATGAAAAATGTTGAGCATCATGAGTTAGCTAACACTGAGAGGCACCTTAAGTTCTACTATCTTGTGGACATGACTGAAAATGTGAAAATGCAAGGCGTTGGAAATGCAGTCTTATCCCTTCAACAAGCAGTGTTTGCGTTTGAATCAAGCTAGAACTCTTTGTCAACGACATTGAAACAGGTTGTTCACCACACTTTGAAAAACTGGGAGAGTTTAAAGATGCATTAGAGATGGTCTGCTAAAATGCCATCTGCCTGTCTAAGGATGGTCTGTTCTAGTAGTTCTTGAGTGTTTATAGGAGCTGCCATGCCCATAATCCTCCCTGCTGTCTTATCAAAGTTGAAATCTGATCTTTTGCTTTTACAGTTGAATTACCTTACCTCAGGATAACAATCAGGCAGAAAGTGATAACCACCATCATGAAGCCACATTTGTGTGACTCTGGTTTTTAGTATTATTAAGCCAGCCAATGTACCCCTCAAGTGTTTTGTTTGCTTAATTTGTTATTTTGTGTGCGTTCATGCCACTGTTGTGTAAATTTTATGTGCATACTCAATCATATTTAATTTTCTTATTGAACAGTGAAAGAGAGCGAGACCTGCAGCTTGTCAGAGATTACAAGCCTCACAAAGATGTTGAGCATCTCAGAATTCTGCTTTATGGACCACCAGCTGCTGGAAAGTCCAGCTTCATCAACTCTGTTGACAGTACTTTAAGAGGCAAAACCACAGCTCGAGCTTTGGCAGCAAATGCCTCCGAAAGTTTCACCATTGCAGTATGTATAAGGATGTATCTATTCTTATCATAGTTACTGTTACAGGGTTAAAAAAAAACACATTTCCTACAAGGCTTTCTAGGACTACAGGAGGGCACTGCAGCGGTAACTGCTTTGTAGAAATTGAACTAGAAAAGTAGGATAGTAGGTGCAACTATAGTGTAAACTATTCTGGAAATACCAAATTGTTTAGGTTCTTTAATATCTGGCACTGATATAACAACACTATATATTTTTTTTATTTATAGTACAGGACATATAAAATTCAGAAAGGAAATCCAGACACCTTTTACCCTTTTGTCTTCAATGACACCATGGGGCTTCAGTCCAGTGACGAAGGAATTCGCGTGGAAGACATCAAACTTGCCATCAGTGGACATGTCAAAGAAGATTACAGGGTATGATGTTTTCTTTCAGATGCTTGTACACAGTCTGTGATACAGAAATTGTATCATGCAAAAAAAGTTTCAGTGATTTTGCTTTTTTTCCCCAGTTCAAACCCACATCTCTCTTCCATGAATCGGATCCTAACTGCAACAGTTCTTCTGTTTTCAGTCATTTTGCTCTTGCATTTTTTTTTCCAGTTCAATCCCAAATGCCCCTTGCCTGAAACAGATCCTAACTACAGAGGCTCCTCCACTTTCGATGACAAAGTCCACATTCTGGTTTTTGTCATTTGTGCTACCTCAGTGAGCTTAATTGATGATGCCACTTGGAGAAAGATGAACGATATCAGAGCAGCAGGTCGTGACAAACGTGAGAGCAGATGTTGTTCTACGAGCATATATCACAATTTCATATACTAGAAAAACATGAGATAAAATGATTGCATTGGTTTCTGTATTGGCAGAGATCCCACAAATAGCCATTCTGACAAAAATTGATGAAGCTTGTCCTGAAGTCCAAAAAGACATAAAGAACGCCTACAGGAGCAAGCACTTGAAAAAGCTGGTATGTTCAAAGAAGTAACTTTCATGAGTTTGTAGACAGTTTACACATGAATGTAACATCTATAATTCAGCTGTACATTTCAGTATATTTGTACAGAAACCTCAGCTGGAATCAGTACAAATAATTCAATAAGTAATTTATAATTATATCACTAGTGCAACAATATAGTTTCAGTTTTTAAAAATTTAATATTGTTTAACTTAGATGGAAACAGTGAACGTGAACCTGGGACTTCCACTGAACTGCATCTTCCTTGTGAAGAACTACCACAAAGAAATCGAGACAGATGACGGTGTGGATTCACTGATACTGAGTATACTGAAAAAGATCATTGACTATGGAGAGGACTACCTGAATGACCAGAATAATCGTGACCTGTCACCAATGTGTGAGGGGGACAGAAAATGAAAATGTTCAGTTACTCTTCAGGTGACTTTGCTTTGCTATTGCTGCAATCATAGTCATAGTAGTCATAGCAATCATAGTCACACAAAAAATTACTTTCATCAGAAACTTTAACCTACTGAATTTTATCTTGTTCTTATTTTCTGTAACTTTTTTCTTTCTCAAATTAAATCCAAATAAACTTCAAGTTGTTTATCTTAAGAAAATCAATAAATGTACTTTTTGTTATTTATTGAACAGTCAAAATGGTAACTGCAGCAATGATGACAGATATATGCCTGTAACCTGTTGATCAAAAGCTAAAAATGTTACGGTTCTGGGGTCGATTCGACCCAGCATTTTGAGTTTCTTATGTTTTACGTTTATTTTGCCATTATGGATTGGTTTTTGATACTCTTGTGCATCCACACTATTGAGTTCCTGTTTCTTTATTGTGTGAATGCCTCACAGGCATCAGATATTGAACCCAGGCCGCCTTGAGACCAGGGCCTGGGCTCGAATCTGGCTCATGGAAACACAGTTCAACTTTGTTTCAACTCTTTTCAGTACAAATATCAGCATCTTTACCCATTTTCAGCAGAATTTTGGGCTTTTCACCTCTTTTCAGCAAAAAATTCTGCTTCTTCAACTGTTTTCACCTTAATTTTCAGTTTCTTCACCTCCTTGTGTGAATGTCTCACAGGCATTCACACTGTTGAGATCCTGTTTCTCTTTATTCTTTATTCTTTCTTTTTCTTTTTCTAGTTTCTTCCGTACGTTTTTTGCAGCTTAACCTCAGTCCCTCAGTCCCTCACATGAGAATGTGGGCCCTACAGATCTAACCTTTAACTACAATTTTTGTGTGAAGGAAACCATGTTTACAGGCTATGTGTTTGTGATGCAATTAAACCGTGCTGTTGGGAAAATGTTGAATATTACTGTGAGCCTGTGTATTCAATGTGAAACACATGCTGTGTTAAAATCAGTATCACTCCTTTCACAGAAAAGGAGGATTGACCACATGATTTACAGCAGCACCTCTGGAATCTGTTGATCCAGGCCTGACCTCCACGACGCTACAAGGCAAATGTGTTGTTTTTCTCTAAGAGTGCTTGTGAAGGATTCAGCACGGACAGACAAGTGACATTAGAGCACACGTGCAGTGATTAAAGGACATTTTTAATGTTGAGCTCATTATCTGACTACTATTAAGCTCATTGTGATGACATGAGTAAGTGACATAAATTAAGGAAAGTCAGTGATTACAGTGTTTTGGAATAAACGCATGGGATGATACATGATTTGCGGCAAATTATAGCAATAGTAGTGCGTTGAATGACTTGAAAAAAGAAAAAAAGAAACTGCATATAATGCTTGTCTCTGTAGTGCTGAATACTTTATGATCTACAGTTGTTTGCAATTGTGAAGTTTGATTTACCTTAAACATCTTCTAGGATACAGGCTCCAAGCAGAGCTGGGAGTTGAACAACTTTAACGTGAAAATCACTGGCTAAAGTTTTTCTTATGACAGGATTGCAGGCTTGGAGTAAAGCTGCTCTGAGGGACAAGCCCTGCGAATCTTTAAGAGAGAATGTGCAGCTTTCTTGTGTATGTCTAATTGTGTGAAGCTGACAGAGGGTTTTCTGGGGAGGTGTCATTGTTTAAATTACTGGTGGAATGAGGTGAAATGATGGAAGAAGAGACTGAGATGCAGATGCAGACTAAGGCTATAACAGAGGCGACAAGAGGATCAGTGAGGAGTGGAGAACGCCTCCAGCTGACGACCCGCAGAGAGCTGTGCCTCTGGGCTTCCTAGAGTGCATCGACAGGAGATGGTGGACAACAGAATGGGCATCTGAAGGATAAGGGGAGCATGCCAATTTGTTATTGTATCTTTATTTCAGACATATACAGAAAAAACAATATATACACAAGTACACACACTTGCATTTACAAATACGAAATATATATATA